ACACAATGACACATTTTTTATTTTTATCTATATTCTCTTGAATGTTAGTTATCATATCTACTGCAGCTGAGGAAGTGTCACTTGCTCACATATATTCAGACATTCAGCTATAACGTAAAACATGTCTATATTTCTTCCCAATTTATTAGAAACTTTAACATACTTATTATTTTTTTAGTAAAAACAGACAATATGACACTTTGTCCATTGGCACCTAACAAGAAGTTTTATAATAAAAAAATGAAAAAAATCTTAGCATATCAATAATGTGATGCATCAGCCGACACGCAGAGAGAAACAGAGCTATACTACGTTTTTCATTAGGGCCTTCCTTTTTGTTAAATGATAAAATTATATTTAAAAAAATGACTTTTTAAACAAATTTTTAAAGAGCTGAAATTTTTTTTAAATAAGTATAAAAATTACTCCTTGCAAAGATTTTCTTATGCATTGGACCAAAAAATAAATATTTTTTTTCTATTCGGCGGTATCAATATCTGGATTTTTGATGATAGTGCCCTTCTGCACAGTCTAATTTTGTATTACCTCCGGAATAAGGGTTACCTTATCATAACCTTTTATCTCTGAAAAATTCAGCTTATGACAAAGGGAGGTAAATCGTTTTCTAGAGCAAATATTTTAATACATACACTCTACTAATAATAATTGATTAAGAGTAGAAAAGCGTCCATAGTTTAGCAATACATTCCCTTCTATATCACATAATAATATGTCCTCGATACAAAAAGTCAAAGTAATAAAAACAAGAGGCCAATGTAAACAAACAATAAACGGTCTCATGACATTTTATATTTTTAAATAAATAGGTCTTTAAAAAATATTTTCTATACCTGTTATTTTTTATATTCAAGCGGATTTATAATATTTAAACTTGGAGTAGCCATGTGTGAAGAGGTACCTTTGGTTTTATAATATGTAGCGATCAGATATAATGTTTCAGCATATTATTATTATTTATATTTTAACAAAAATTATTTTTATTGTTCGAATAATCTGTTATAATGAGGTACAGCTTCTAGAACAAATTCATAAAAAAAACAGTACTGTTAAACTCACCATTTATTTGGCATTCTCTCCCGTACTTACATGTCTCTATTAGCTCTGCTGTCAATTAGTTTTGGTAAGGCATATTGCATATAATAATTTTGAATTTTATTTTGCATCTTTTCTTTGCTGTCATTATGAGGAATTTCGTCCACTTTTATTTCTCGAGGAGTCCAAACGCACAAAATGCAAAAATCCATTTGTGTAATGTGCAGCTAGCCCTGAATTTGAAAGTACCGATTGTGGTTCCCCTTAATGGTATTATCCTTTTTCCAGAAAGTTATTTTTCTACTGCATATTCCTTCTTCTTCAGTCAACATTCTAGCTTCATATGAACATTTTAAGTTTATCATAGAGTTTTTACTTTCCTATCTGTATACAGATAAGGAAAGTATAGGAATCATGATTTTTTGTTCTAAATTCCATCTGGACTGGCAGCAACATAATCAAATTCGGAATCAATAAAAGTTCACATATAAAAACTTTTTCTTGCAAATAAATTTCCAAATCTTATTTTGCTCTGGATTTATTGTCCATGTCATATTAAAAGGCTTTAGCAAAAAATAAGAGATTTTATGAGATTATTTAAAGAATGCCTTTCCTTTTTTTACAAATGTCTCCAAATTTTGAAACAGTGGCTCGTTTTCGTCTTTCATTTTGCTTCAATCCGCAATCAGCTTGATCTCTTGTCACATTCATTTTTTTCTCATCTATAGACATTATCCAACTTTTTAGAAAATCTTCTTATGCAACGTGCATCAAAGAATGTGAGAAATCAAAGCCACGTCCGAAAACAAAAAAAGTGATTTACTAAGTTAGAAAAAATATACATTACTTTAACAGCTTAAAGAGTTGTTAACATGCTGGAATTCATTATTCTTAACTCGAACATGTATTCATTGAAAAAAAACTCCCGTGCAATATAAAAGTTAATTTTTAATTCAAATCTCATTGTATACCTTTTAATTTCGGATATATTTTTTAAAAAAACAAATGATAAAATTAATTTAAGATAATTGAACGAAATTACTGTATGTAAAAATAACAAAGTGTACAGACATAAAACAAAATAAATTAAAATCACTTGCGTACGTTTATCACTTGTAAACAGTAGAAAAGGATATACATTTTGTTGGGGTCGCCCTCTAGACGAAAAAGCTTTTAACGTATTTTTTTAATTTTCATTGAGAAAAATAAATGTTCCTGTAAAAATTCAAAACATATATTGTTCCCTTCTAGCATTTTTATTTGTATTTTGTATTTTTCGATAGAAAGATATCTTCTTACATTTTCTCAAAATAAACCGATTCAAATGTTCAAAAAGTGACTCCTTTACCTGTACTTACATAATTTTTCAAAAAATAATCCGTAAAATTAGTGTACTATGAAACTCATTGCATATTATATAAATATATCTATATTAGTATTACAGAAATGATTTACGTAAAACAATAAGGTGTACCTACAAATACGTAAACTTTAATTATCCCTCGTAAAACATCAGTAAAATATTTTGTAAATTGTTTTCATTCACAAATATTAATTTCTTAAAAATCTAACAGAGGCGCCACTTGCCAGACGAAAAATCTTGCAATGTAACGGTTTCGTAAGTACCCCACTTTTAAAGTTTATTTTTAAGTATTTTTAAAAGACAAAAATATGTGCGTGTAGATAGGTTAAATCTATGCTCCTCTGGAACCACTTTTTCAAAATTCAATTTAGTTTTTTCTAAAAAAAATTGAGAAAATGGATCAAAAAAGTCGAGTTTTGTGTGTTTTTTTTTTTAGAAAAAAACAGATTGAAATTTTGAAAAAGTGTTTCCAGAGGAGCACAGATTTAACCTTTACCTACACGCACATATTTTTTTCTTTCAAAACATGTCAAGAATAAACTTTAATAGTGGGGTACTACGAAACCCTTGCATGCTCTGCTCTAAAGCCAAGTAAGGCTTGGCTAGCGCCCTCAGTTTTAAAAAGTATACTAAAAGTTTAATACATTCATAGATTTCGCTAGCATGTCCAATTCAGTAAATTAAATCAATTACAGTGTTCCAATTAAAGCACCATAATCATTATGCATAATATATGATTATAATAAGCAAAATCAAACGTCGCTGTAGTACTTAGTAACTAAGAACAGATGGCGTTACCCTTTTCGCTCATTGAATATCTACAAACTCTCGACCTTTGTTAATGTGTGCAAGCCGGCAGACTACATTAAAGACTGGAGTCGAAATTGTCTAATTCTTGATGATGAATCCTAATAAGGACGAAACCGGTCCAAGAATGACTTTCTCCTAAGTAAGCAAAATCAAAGGTAGACTGTTGAAAATATTTTTTCTCTGCTTTGATGTAATTCAATACCAGGTGCGGTATTAGCCAAAAAGTAGTTATTTTCAAGAGAGAAACGGCCGCTCGTATTATTGCGACACATGGCTCTGAGTTTTATTTGATTTTATTTCCTCTTTTTTCTTAATTTTATTTCATTAACTTTTCTTTGGAAAAATCATTTTTAAACACAAATTACAGTAACATTCTTCATGCTTAAATTAATTTTTATTTTGTTTTGTAGAAATACCTTATCATTACTGGTTGTATTTAGAAACATTTTTTTTTTATATATATATAATTAGTGTACGAGGGCTGTCTTTTAAGTTTTGCATACCGTGCATTAGAGTGCGTTACGAATCAAACGGCTCTAATAAAAATAAACTGTCGCCTTTAGTTAACCTCACTTTCAAGTTTCAGTCCGATTCATAGAGTGTTGTAGTTACACCGAATTTTCAAAGTTGACAAGTTATTCAAGAAATGGATTTAAATCAAGAACATTTTCGTGACATAATTTTTTACAACTTTCGAAGACAATTATCTCAACAAGAATGCCTCGCCGAGTTGGTTTCTGTTTTCGGTAGTGTTGCACCACATCAATCGACAATTTCTCGTTGGTATGGAGAATTTACACGAGAACGGGTTAATCTTAGTGACGAGCCAAGAACAGGTGCACCTAAATCGGTAGTCACCCAGGAAACCATTGATGCTGTGCGCAGGCTCATCGAGGAAGATTGGCATGTGACATATCGCGATATTGAAGTATCGGGGATTTCAAAGATATTCAATGATACCTGTATATCTTCATACTCATATTCCTAGTCTTAATCCCGATATGTATCCATAGTATCTTAAAAAGGTGTCCAGGCGGGCAACCCATATTCGATGAGGTATCTGACATGCTGAATATACTACTTTGACTGAATTTGTTGAGAGATCACTAACGTTTCTCAGTATAAATCTAAGTTTTTAAAGCTTTACAAGTGATCTAATTAATATGTAGGGTAAATGTCAGATTCTCATCGATAAGCTCCCTAAGACTTTTATCTCAGTTACTCTATTAAGGACTGTATCGCAAATAGAATAATCAAAATTATTTTGTTGTGCACCCTACCAAATGTATGTAATCGTGTAACATTTAGAAATATTGAAAGACATACAGTTTTTCACAGACCAATTATGAAGAGCTTGTATATCAATGTAAAATTCTAAGTCATCTGCAAAAAGTTAGTTATTACATATCTATTGGCATCAATATTTGTACAGAATATACTACAATACATGTTTCAGGTTATGTTATAGTTGAATTTAAAAATTTATTAGGATAATTTAAATTAGGCTGCAATAATCAGTGTGATACATTTTCAATAATTCAGTTTCGGAATGTAAATTGTCGCAACTATTGTCAACTAATTTGAAAATCTACAAAATCATTTATTTTTTAAATGAATTGGAACGGCCAGTGTCGATGTTTTTACATGCATTTTATTCTCGCCAATTTTCACATAAATCACAGTCTTAAATTAAAATCGGTTCCGCCATATTCGACGGTTGTTAGAATCTTTGTCAAAGTTTGTGTTATCTGTTATAAGCTGTTGTCTTTTCTAGCTGATCGACTGTGTTTCACAAGTATGTGGTTCTTGTTTGGAACAAACGACTTGGCTAAGAAGAAATTTCGCCGTCAGAGAACAGGATGAAGATACTACGCCAGATTCTAACATTATTAGCGGAAGCCACAGTGATATATTCATAAATTCTAATCATAGTGTTCAAGCACAATTAGTAAGTAATGAGTTTGTAAAAAAAAGCAATATAAATTATCCCATATTTTTTTAGGTTCTTTCAGAAATCTTAGCACCAATTCTAGACATATGTTTTGGTTCTTCAGAGAAGGACAAAGTTAACAATATACTCATTTCGTTAATGTGCAATATAGTACCTTACCTAAGGACCCACACTGTAAAAAATATGCCTAGTTTCAGCGCTTGTTCAAAATTATTATCTAGCCTAAGTAGTTATCAATACACTAGAAAAGCTTGGAAGAAAGATGTTTTTGATTTGCTTTTTGACAACTCCCTTTTTCAAATGGACTACGCTTGTATGAAGTATTGGAGGGTGATTGTTGATAATTTAATGACACACGACAATACAACTTTCAGAGATCTAATGAGTAAGTGTTATTTTTGTTATTTATGTCAAAACTGTCGTCTGTAATTAAGGTTAATACGCTACATTAATGTGATGTAATTTGAGTGACAAACAAAAACGAATCATTCAAATCAAAACAATATATTTTAAGTTTATTAGTTCCTTTTAATATTGTTTTACTAATTTTTACTAATTTTACTTATTGTGACCTTTAATTATTTTATAACAGTTTAATATTTATACTGAAATACTTATTTTCTATATCAACACTTATTTATATTTCACACTTACAATCTAATTTATCTAACAATTCGAATGTCTTATCTTCAACTTCTGTCTAAAACTGGTCTTCCAACAACTCAACAGCTTATTTATATTCAAAATGGGACAAGTTAGACCTGTTCTAGAACGTCCAGACCAGTCTAGAATATTCGATTCGACCAATAATCGTCATTACTGAAGTCTATCGCGTCTCTGGTAGACTCTTGTAGTAATTTCGCGCAGCGGACTCGTCTACCATGTCGTTAGACGTGCTGGCTACAACAGAGGCAGGACCGAACTGGTCGAGAATGGCTCGTATGACATTATTTTAGAAATTATTAGGCTACTAAATAATACGTTTCTTATAAGTTATTTAAATAATAAAAACTCGACATTTTTATTATTTTTTAACTATAAAATCTATCGAAAAACGTAAAAAGAATTAGATTAGATAGTATCCTACTTAAGGAATGTTTTTATTTTAACATCACTTTGATAACTAAGTCTACTGCAACTGTCAACTTTGTTTGGTACACAAATTAAGTCATCACTTATGCAGTGCATTGTTACTTGATTGGTTAATTTCCGTTTCAGATCGCGTTTCCATGAACCAAAGTGGAAGTTTAAACATATTTTCGTCTAGAGAACAGGAATATGAACAGAAAGCGCAATTGTTAAAGAGATTGGCCTATGTTATATTTTGTAGTGAAATGGACCAGTATGCCAAATATATGCCGGATATTCAAGGTACCATAATACTTTTGATTTTTCTCAAATTTAAATTACTAAAAGGCAATTTGCAACGTTGTAGTTAAGAAATAAGCAAAGCTCAAATTGACTTTAGTGAATTGAACATGTCATTTTAAGCTAGGCTTATTTCTAAACAACTAGCGGCGCGAATGGGTCTAATAAAAGATATTTTTCATTATTTTTGTTTTAGAACAACTTACAAGTAGCTTGAGGCTAAGCATTCCAGGAGTACAAGCGCAAGTCTTTCTGTGCTTTAGAGTGATTTTGTTAAGAATGAGTCCGTTACATGTTACATCTCTTTGGCCTATCATCATCAGTGAAATGTTGCAGGTGTTTCTCCAAATTGAGCAGGAGTTGTCAACAGATACAGAAGAATTCAGGTATGTTCGTAATTATAATTTTGTAATTGTCCTTTTATACGAATACTTCCACCATAATATAAACATGGTAAACGTGATTTAACTTATCCGCAAATGTTATTGCAAGAATATTGCGTTTGCCATTTTTGGTAAAACTATAATTTTCATGACACAATTTTGTGTAATAATGAATATTTTCTAAATAAATGCGCATAAAGAACAAATATATTATAATTCAGACCGAAAATAGTATAGAATCTACCCCGTAGGCACTGCTGCATTTTAAAATCAAATTAGTTTACTTTTTTTGTAATTCTGTAAACATTTGGTCATTACACGTTTATCATGTTCCTGTTATGGTGGATGGATCTCTATATTTTAAAATCAAGTCAATTTCATCACAGAACTCACACTAACGAAATTAGGATCATTTTATGATTACGTTTACGTCACAAATGCAAATAGATAGGCATGACAGCAATTATTCACGAGGTTGACCTATTTCATTGAATATTTCTGGTATAGGCAAAGTTGATTCCGTAAGAGCCCCAAATAAGGCTAATGGAACTAAAGGAATTAAAGCAGGACTGGACTGGTCCAAAATAGCTCGAAAGACAGTATGATGTTCAAAAACGAATAAAAATAATTTTAGCATTAAACTCAAATTGAAAAATGAGTCATATACCCCTTATTCAGATCATTATTCTACGCTTAATTGTTAAACCAACCTCAAATCTAAAGTACCGGCGGCGCTGTTGGGGATTCGTTACAAAATTTATGAGTTAACATATTTGTTAGATTTTATTAATTATTAAGTCAAATAATTATTTAGTCACCAAGTGATTACCGATAGAACACAATGCGTGAGAACCGGCCAACAGCAACAGCTGATCACACTAGACACTCAAGGCGACCTAAATCGTTCTGCCAGGAGAAGTACTGATGGTACTTTGCTACCGCAACAGTTCCCCGCTCTTGACTGCCGATGTTCTCTACAGTACTATAGTTAGCTGGTAAACAAACCCGCTAACATATTCATCAAATATTGTGTATTTGCAGTAAGACTAATTGAAAATATAACGCGTTTTTAACACTGATAACACTACACAACTATAATTGTTTAGAATGGTCTCGGTTATTATTAAGAAATGCTGCTGCTCGTCTTAGTAAAGAACCTCGAATTTAGCACCAATAGCGTTGGTAATGTGACAGTACCAACGAGAATGTCTAATTTGAATTACTCACACATATGGCTTTTTGAAAAGCGAAATATTTGACGGAGCCCTAAAATAATAAAAACAGATTTTTTAAACTTTATATTGGTTTAGATAGGTTTTATTTTACCCCGGGGCATTTCTAAAAAAAAGTCCTCAAGCAAAGTCATATCCTTTCTTAGTGAAATCTAAAAAAGGTCCTCCCTTTTGTGGCGAACTTCCTCATAGCACTCCTTTACTTTTTTTATTATGATTATTATTTTCTTCGCGAAGCCCCCACAGAGGCTTTGCGGAGCCCCAGGGCTTCTTATACATTCAAACGGGGCCACGTTTCAAGCGGCTAGGAATGAATAGTTAGAATAATATTGTTTCAATCGCGTGTTGTTCGCGTGCTGAATTTTTGTTTGTTAGGTAGTTAGAATAGTTGAGTTTTTAAAATATAATAAATTAAAAATCGTCCGAGAGTCCGAAGCAAAATGAATAAAATAAGCAATCTGTTACTGAAACCTATTTCTACGACCTCGCTCGAGGAAAAAATCCAAATAAAGGAACTTGGGAGACCTCTTCCCGATTTGGAAGTAACAAAAACGCAGAAGGCTTCCACCTCAAGTTGGTCAAACTTCCAAGGCCGGATAAGAAAGTTTAACCGGAAATAACTGGATTTGTGGATGTGATGAAAAAAACGCATTTTTTTGTTTTGTGTGTTTTGTTCGTGGGGCGATTCTTCGTGTACGATGCATGGTGTAACTGATTTGGTATACATTTATGAGAAAATTAAAATACACGAAAACAGTAAGGACCATGTAAATAATATTTTTAGTTATTCTGTTATTCTTTGCTTGGAAAATCAAATATACTGACTCAATTAAATTCGGCTTATAGACAGAATAACAAAAAAGATATATTTTAAAAATCATTAGTAACTGTATTAGATTTTGTGGTGCATTAGAATTTGCATTGCGCGGACATGATGAAACCGAAGAATCCAAAAATAAAGGAGTGTTCCGAGAATTGATAGATTTTAGTTCTGAATTAGATGCAGATTTAAAGGAACATTTCAACAAAGCAACAGTATTTAAAGGGACCTCTAAGACCATACAGAACGAACTATTGGACTGCATGCTTGGCGTTTATCATGAAGAAGTGACTAAAGAAATAAAAAAAAACCAAATTATGTAGCTGTAATTGCTGACGAAACTACCGATGTTGCTAACGAATTTAAATTGGTCATTATTCTACGATACATTGACTCCAGTAAGCCAGTAGAAAGATTTTGGAAATTTGTAAATCCTCCCGGACACAATGCCATTTCAATAGCAAATTGCATTTTAAATTAAATTAATCCATTAATTAATGACACACCAAATAAGTTGATCGCGCAGAGCAAATTATGTACATCAGATTAACCTTATAATGAACAGTGCAGGTTCAATTAATGCCTCTGTTCGGATTTTTTCGCTCATTTAACTGGAATTTGTGCTTTTTTTTTACATCACCTCAAAGAACAAAACTATTGGATTATATAGTTTATAGACGATTACCACGCTCATCACAAACGAGATGGGATTTCCAATCACGGGGAGTTAATACAGTTTATGAATACCGAAATGAACTGATACACGTTATGGATATTTTATAGAACGACAAAGAAATTAAATTCTACGTTTGAGCAAGCCGGTCCTTATAAACTTAGATTACAGGACAGAGATTTCATATTTTGGTTAACAGTTTTTCATAAAGTCATGCCACATTTAGAAATAATTTTTAAGCAACTGCACATGATTAATACCGACCCTATCAAGGCTAAATAAGATCAAAAAAATGCAATGCAAAAAATTCGTAATGAAATGGATAAAATTATTGACAAAATAGACTCGGAGCTTTTAGAAACTGAAGATGAACTTGTTCCTCAGAAAAGGCGACGTTACCCTCGTTCCGATCTATCTGTTTCAACAAATAGAAAAATAGAAGCCTTGGAAGTTTGCGATTCAACAGATTAGGACAACAGATTAGGACATAATTCACTTTCACAGGACATCTAATAGCTACTGCATTATTCATGAAAGAATATTTTATCCAAACCCCAAAATACTTTCCTGAATTGCTCTCTGATACAGTTAACGCATATCAATTTCTAAAAAAAAAAAAATCGTCTAAAAACAGAACTGCAAGTACTTTACGAAAGAGAAGAGTTCCAAACCATTTCTGGAGCCATTCCTCTGTTATCATTAGTTTCACAGGACAGGAAGATATGAAGTACACTTTTCAAGAAACTATTAAATTACTGGAAGTTTTAGTGACAACACCTATGTCAACATCCGAAGCTGAAAGATGTTTTTCTATGTTAAAGAGGATAAAAACTTTTTTTACGCAACTCAATGAAAGAAGAAAGACTTAAGTGCGCTAGGAATGTTAACATCTTAAAAAGTGTTTCTAAATAACATTGACGACTTTAATAGACGAGTGATTGACCTTTTCGCTAATAAAACAGAACGAATACTAGACTTCAAATATCGTTCAATGTAAAATATTCTTTATTTTACTGTATAGGTTTGGAGTGCAATAAATTACTATTCAAAGCTAAATTCTGGTAAATTTTTTGTTATTTATTATTTTGTAAAAATAATAAATGCGCACGTTAATATACTTTAAAATATTACCCAAGATATGCTTTTTAAAGACTTCGAGTCAAAATCTGGGCTAGGCACCCGAAAATGTTAATCCGTGGCTCCACCTATGTGCTAAGGCACGAGCCGCCACTGGATTCCCTACTAGAATACCGTGATGTAATGTAGAGACATAGAGTGTGACTCGGATATTCAGGGTCAATGACCTTAGGTGACCTAGTTTTTAAACGTGATAAATATAAACTTTACTGGTTTGACATAAATTTTCAAAATTTAATTACTCTTTCAATGATAGTTATTTTGTCAAATTAATATTTTTGTACATTCTAGAGGAGCCTAAATATTATCTGCTTTAATATCCACACGTTTTTCAATGACGCCTTGTATAGGATAAATTAGTTTTTAATATTCTGTCAAAACCTTTGAATTTTAAACGTTATTTTTCCAAAATATTCTTCCATTGGACTTTTTAAAAGCATAAGTTGACATTAAGAAAAATAATACTTTTAATTCAACGGAGCACAGCAAAAAATAGTTCCCAGGCATATTTCCACACGTCACATGACATATTTATGTTTTCATAATAAATCGATCTGTATCGTTTTAATGTACACTTAACAATAAATACTTGGTAAAGTATCCGAATTCTGTGATGTTTTTGACTAATATATTAATATTTTCTAACAAAACAATTTTATTTTATCACGTCAATACCTTTTACATAAATATATTCTTTTTTGAAAGGAGTTTTATTTTCCTTTCTTACTAATTCTAAAATCATATAATTTTTGGACCAATATTTATATGAAAAGCGGAATTTTGAGTTAAAATCAAAATAGCTTGTAGGGAATTCCTTTTTAGTTTTGTTTGAAAATATTTTAATGTTGTATTTCTGTGTTGCTTTTTAGTAAATAAATTTATATTTTTATTGTGGTTTTGCTTCAAATGTCACCTTTAGATAAGCACCTTGATTGTTTTTCTGTTTTATGTAATACATAGTATATTAATCAAGTATTGAATTTATTTGAATTGTTTATTTATTAGTTATTGTAGGTATAATTGATTCACTAAATATTATTATTTCGATGCTATGCATGGTTTTTATATGATTAATATTTATTTTAAATTGACAAATTTACATAATATGGTAAATACTGTCACTGTTGATACCGAAAAAGATCTAAATTAAATTCTCATACCTTTAATTTATTTAAATTGGTAACTATATGAATATAAGCCCAAAAGGGCTTGATTTAAATTGATTTTGTTTAAATTAACGTTGACAGCAATACCTATTATGCACCATGATTAAAGATATAATAGGTAATGGAATTATAACACAATTTAAGAATCTTTAATTTCATCTTAATAATTTACTCAAATAAAATATATATTAAGTGACTAATTTTTCAATCTATTATAAACACATTTTTAGCAAGTTTAGTTAAAAAATAAGTATTTATTATTAAAATAATTTTTAATTCATTAACTTGATTGCAAAAATATTTGTACTTAATTTAAACAATTCATATACAAGTCGCAAACGAAATCTGACAAATATTTTTTATAAACTTAAAAAACTCAAAAATTACTATAATTATTTTAGTTTAAAATGTGTCTTTTGATTAAAAAAATGTCACTTGAGGTATTCACCAAAAACCTAATAATAAATTATATTCTTACAAGTTTGAAACAATTTTTAACATAAAAATTGTTTTAATTTGCTTGAATATATCAAAAGTTATTAACATAATATTTATTTGTTTGTGATTTGCTGTGGTGGCTGGATATGCAACAGGTCCAACAACAGGTAATTAATTCTAATTTTTATTCCTTACTAACGCTTTTTTGCAAAATGTTAACTTTTCTTAATATAGTAAGGAATTATTTGGAATAGAAATTATTAATATAATGGCAACCTTGTATCAAAACGTTTGTCGTATTTCTGCTTTGCAATGTTAGGCTATGTCCAATGAAAATATTTCCTTACTGTATCACTTCTTTCCCATATAGTTTTTTACTTTACTGATAAAGCAAGCATTATATTTTAACAATGTATTTGTTTGGGCTGCATTTTGATTTCTTTGGAACGATAGTCTGCTAAGGTTCGCTAGTTTATTTTAAATTAACACAATCATAAAAAAGAACTTTATCGCATAATTCTTTGTAGATAATTTTTAATGCCATGGTTTAATAATTAACAAGATCCTTAGTCCATCTATTCGAAAAAAAAAATGTTTTATTTTTATTAAAATATAATTTCAAACATCTTTAGTTTTCAGCTTTTTATACTTTTTTTTCTAGTAATGTTTTTTTTTGCTCTCTTAATTAGCTCTCATATAAAATTAATGTCTTCTCTTGATGCCAGCTGGGCCACGAACAGCAACAATGGTCTTCATGCTTTGGGCCATCCACATTGGCTAAGACTACAATTGGCTACAGCTAAATTATTGGATTTGGCCTTGCTATTACCTGCGACTACACTTCCACAATTCCAAATGTAAGTAGCATATATGTTTCATTAAATAACACTGGTATAAATATATAATGTATTGAGTGATATTCTGGCACCAATTTCCACTTAAACCTTGTCTGAAGTTGTGTCACATATTGTTAGCCTAAATGAAAAAAAAAGTGCTTGCTGTTGGGCAGCGTCTGGATCGAATACAGAATACTAGAGCAAGGACAGAAGTTGGAAAAGCTTTTGGTAGGTGGAGAGTTGGTAAACGTTGAACCCAGTCGGACTTCGACAATTTCGCAATAATGTTCGTTCGCCAGTGTCGTACCACAGAAAAACAATAATACTAAACATTTTAAATTGTTACAGGCGGAATCGAGCAATCCTTATCTATTTATGGGCTATAAATAATGATTTATTATACTCTGTTTTTAAACTAGGAGGAGCGAATTGAAAAGACGCATTTACACAGGGAAAAGTAACTAGATTCGTTACTAAGAGCAAGTTCCGAAATATAGTCGTGTTCAAAATTTATGTAATAGTTGTTATTACCGGCCCTAATCGGCGAACGGCCAATGAGGGATTAAGGAACAAATAAATGTCCTAGGAGTCGATGTTTTTATTGGTTCCAGACAACGGACGTAAATTTCACATATTGTGATCTAAAAAGTGTGTCTAAAACTGTCACTGTCAAATGAAATTTGAAGTTGTTGATTTGTTGACGTATCAGAAATATGCTTTTCTTGCTTTTGAAATGGACTTTTTGAGGATTATGATTTTTTTATATGAATATTGTATATTTATGAAAGTTGTTAAAATAATATCAAGAAGCAGGTTAGTATAAAACATAAAAATATGATCGTTTTACATTTTCAATGATATATTTATTATAGGTATAAACTTAGTAAAAGGTAATCAATAATATAGCAAATGGATCACACAGTGACTGGAATTTCTCCTTTGAGTAATATGAACATTGTAGCTTATTTAGTGTTAACCCATAGTTAATACTCTAACCCAAATCGGTGTCGATGCTTAATCCCTCGAAATTATTATTATTAAATGTTTAACACATATTCGAGACTCAGGTTTGGAACCTATAGGGATAATGTGTGATTTATCTACAGTTAACCAAAAAATCTATAGTTCTTTGGGCATTACTGTAGATAACCCTAAATTTGCCATAGGAGAAAACAATTACTTTGCATTTTTTATGTGCCTGACCTAGTAAAATGCGCTCAAAATAAGTTTTTACAAGGTTATTTTGTCTTCAATGGAAAATTTATCAGATATGCTGATTTAAATAGGTTTATGAACTGGCCCAAATCTGGAAGAGCTTTATTAAAAATCACTTTTAAAACCTTTTCTCAAATGCATTTAAAGAAATGAGCGTAAAGCTCGCTACTCAGTTATTTAGCCATTATGTAGCTACAACCATTAAAACGGCAACAAGAACTGGAGAATTAGTTTCCATAACGGCTGAAAATACAGCCTATTTTATTGAAACAATGAACAACCTATTTGATGGCTTAAATAGTTCTTCTGCAGATAGTTCGGAACCTTGTAACCGATCGTATTATATTAATAAAGAGGTGATTTTAATGCTTTTACACAAGGATACAAACTTTTAAAGTATATAGCTAAACAAACTGCCAAAGGTAAATTAACGAGACCGGATTCGATGGTTTTCTTATTACCATAAATGCCGTTAAAGAGTTTTATTCCTATAATATTACGCAAACTCAACTTAAATATGTATTAACAGGAAGACTAATTCAGGATCCATTAGGAAACCAATTTTCTGTCTATAGGCAGAAAGGGAGTTTTAATCGAAATCCTACTGTTAGAGGTTTCAAAGCAGCTTTTAAGCTAAATATCGTTCATAATTTCATGAGGCCTCCACTTAAAGCAAATTCGGGAACGAATCAGGACGAAGACCAAAATCTCCTGGGGTATGGTAATGCTTTAAACGTTTTTAAAAGAGCCTCATAATGATGAAGATATAGATAATGAAGAATACAATAAGAGTTCTGAAATCAGTATTTCATTAGAGAAGACACTTACAATCTAAACGAGCAATCCGGGCTAAAATGTCCATTATCACTATTGGGCCAATGTGCTAGAATATCGCTACAAACTGTCACGCAAAACAAAGAAGAATATTGTTCCAAAATTTTTTTTTATAATTTGCGAAAAATTATAATTGAAAAATAAAAACATTTTTAGCAGAATGGTGTAATTGTAATAGTAACTGTGTGGAACACAGACAGTATATGTTAGATTTATTAATTACAACTCAAATTTTCAAATATTGTAAGAACCGGTCCAAATTAGAAGCGGCAAAGAAAACGAGGAAACTTCAAGCCAGTAAAAAAATGTAAAGTTGTCTATAGTGCAAAATACATAAATAAATTAATTCCTCATTTTCCTTATATTTTTAATGTACTTACTTATTATATCTAACAAAATGTTTAATAATACATTTATTATTTAATAATAAATAACCTCTGCACGTGTAGTTATTTCCCCCAAAAAAGCTAATAATTATTGTAAGAGGGTGGTACTTTTTGTCTTTTATTAATTATATTAATATTATTTTATATTACCAATTTTTTTTATCCAAAATTCTATTAAAAACTATAGGTATAGTAATTTTGTAAATTACGGTCCTGGATAATAAACATTCATACGATTTTATTATTTCCATCATATTTATACGAAGATTAAATTATCAATTTACCTACCTACATAAAGACAGAAATGTTAAATACCTACTGATGGCTTGAATTCACGCCAAACATGAAATATGCGTAATATGGTAGAACACCAACTTAAAGACCACCTAAGCGACTTCTAATAAATCGCAATTATAAAGCTGGTAAACTATTTTTCGATAGTTGCCAGTTTTGTTAAAATAGAAATGACAACGATGTACGGTAAAAAAACAATCCCAACTTCTTTTACCGGCATCTAGAAAACTGTCTTCTGCTTACGACTTTTTTTAATTTGCGCTACTGTCCGCTTGGAACCGCCATGTGACGAGCATAATAAAATCAAACGTTTTCTTCATAAGCATTGACTTACTAGATATATTTATACAATGGTATTATAATATCCCAAATCATAAGTCTACAAAATGTCAATAACTATTTACCGTTTATTTAACTACGCGAAATTGTAATGAGCATCTATAAAATAAATTTCTACGCCAACGTATCGCGTTCACTTCGATTAGCTCTGTGGCAAAAGCGTCAAATCTTGTGTATGAAGTGGGAGAACTGTGAAAAGCCTTTTCAATTCCTGTACCTGCTCTAGCACTGTGTTCTATTTTATTAATTTCATCTTAACAAAAGAACAAGATACAAAAAAAGGAGTTCTTATGCTCGCTGTAGATGATGATAACTTCTATGCAGATTGTGTTATATAATCTAGGACCAGCTCTAAAACAGACTAAAAGATGGTGTCGATAGGTCGGACACGCCAAAACAACACTATACCAAAATAATAGACAGTAATTTCATGCCAAGAATGTGTGAAAAATCCATTCAGATGTGCCATATCGATGGCCTAGAAGCAATGCCTCGTTTGTACAAAATCTGAAGGAAAAAAGCAATAACATGTATAAGACAGTAAAAAGAAAAAAGCCATACATAATGTTGTATGTAACTTTTTGACAAAGTTAATTAATAAATAATATATTTATATAATAATAAATGTAATTACGTGATATTGCTTCTAGGCCATCCATATATGCAATTGCAATATATGCCCACCATTGAAAAGGAAACACTTGTCCAGTAACTGTCGTCGGGTGTCACTCGGGTGAAGGTCGTTTTGCCCTGACCCCTCTCTTTCGCTAAGAAGGGGTCGTGAGGGAGATATGGCCGTACTAGTGGATAATTCGGAGAGCGTAGCGAACTCCTCGAAACCACCAACACTGTGAAGCACTTCACCAGGGAAACTTCCCCCTGACCTACATTTGCCGTGTGTAGGCCGACGCTCGATAGGGGTATATGATGATTGAAGTCCCAATTCAAACGAATTGGGTACTCTCAGGGTAGGTTCGGGCCCAGACGGCGGGGATTTGGCAATCCGTCGGGTTGTGTCGTTATTTTGAAAATTGTTAAAATTATAAAAATCATCTAAATTTATAGCCGAGTTCGGCTGTCTCCACAAGGTAGCATTTTGCTCTGGGGCGGGAGTAACCGGGAAAAGCCATAGAACTCTCCCCGTGTACCGTGCCCTGAAGGAAATGCCCTTCTGAGGTCGGCGGTGAAATTATCTTGATTGTTGTGATGCATTTTTGGAATACGTTAAAATGAATTGAAATGATTATAAAAAAAAATAATAATAAAAGCCTCCCTCAGTCAAGCGGGTTCGATAGGGGAAGGTGAATGTCGATTAGCAAGTAAACGACAATCACTAGGATAGGATATAAATAATTAATTAAATAAAAAGAAATGAGCCACGTTACTAAACGGGGCGTCTCCAAATTGCTGAAAAATAAATAAATAAACAAACAAGGTCAAGAGAAGAAAATCCATTACAGGTTCCGTATTTCATTCGGGTATAAATGAAATACGGAAATATGAATGTTCGAAGTTGTTCCCGTGAGAAAGAGTAACTAGTCTCCGAACTTTAGGATTACTTCGTGATTGATTATTTAGTATGAATTTAATATTAAAAATTAAAATAACTTTTCTAGCTTTCGAGTACGAGTGCTAGATGTAAAACCATAAGTACTTGTGTCGACGTAAGAGTGACTCTATATGTGTGATTGCAAAAATTAGTGTTTGCGGATTCGGTTAATTGGGGTACTTGTATGGTGTCCATACACATAGGGTATCGTTGCGGAGCTGCAACTCGGGTAAGAATTGGATCGACGCTACGGGACCCTATGACATAACCTCCAAAAATTTATCCAAACTTTGGCGCAGTGACATATGACAGTATTCTTCACAAATTAAATTACTGTCTATTGTTTCGGTATTCAACATAGTAACCTTTTCAAGAAAAAAAGACCTTAATCTCAAAACTGTCAAAATAAATTAAATAGATATAGAATGGAAAAAAAGAGACTAACCGTGGAATATAAAATTATCTAAAATATAATATATTTATATAGAAGGATGTAAATAAATAAGAACGCAAAAGAAAGCCGCAAATGCTATGATAATGTACAGGAACATTGCAGATAAAAATGTTTACAGCAAAAATCGACCAGCCATCACATAAGAATTTGTAGCCTGTCTTAACATAACTTGTCTAGCTACTATGAGATTCTAATATCTCAAAGGTGCAAATCTAGTATGTGTTTGCATCGCCGGTGTAATAAGAAAGTATGAGTAAATACTCAAGTATCTTCCAGGCGGAAATTTATAAAAATAAAATGAGCTAGGTGAGAAAAATATAGTTAGTCTCACTTAGGTATCTGGACACAACCAACGGTTGGGATGAAATATGTTGCACTACAGAATCCAATAACACTGTACTTGGGAGGAAATCAGATAGAAGAGGGTGAACTGCTTCAGCTTGGAGCTACTCCAAATCCTTAACTTCCATTAGAAGATAGGATTAAAATGGTGCGTTATAGATGTTGAGACAATACGCTAGTTCAGTGATGATGTAATTATGGTTCCACTGACAATTAAAGTGACAGTAGATTTTTTGAGTGCGTTTTGTTCGTTTTGTTTACCTAAATTTTATCGTTTTTTCACTTTTATAAATATATTCCTAAAGTAAGTAGATAACATGTATCAAATATACAATCGTTTAGTTACCAATTACATACCTTTCAACTATTTTTTATGACCTGTAAAAAATATTTAGAAATAAACTTAAATGTTAAATTTATTGAGGTTTTTGTTAAAATTTTGGTTAGAATTAAATGTCAGTGGAACCAAAATGACATCACACCGAATTAGCGTATTACCTTGCCATTTTAATGACAGAAGCGGACACAATAAATGTTTTAGGTTCCTATATCCCATAACAATACATAAAATACCGTCAATTTGATATCATTAGAATATTGCTTTTAAAATAATCTGATTTCTTGTCAAATTGTAGCTTCAGCTGATGTAAATGTTGTAAAAACCTTCAAATTTCAGGTATAGATGGGCTTTCGTAGGCGACGATCTTATAAGACGAAACCCCAGCCTCTTCAACCAAGTTTCATTCTTACCACACGTCGTTAGAATAGCAGATCTAATGAACAAAAAATATCCTGACACCCACATAGATATTTTGCCGATGAACAGGAACGAACTACTTTTGACAATGAACAATATAACACAACTAAAAGATCTACATGGATTCTTCAAGACGCTAAGTTCCTGTTCTGACAGACACAGAACAGATTGTAGTAAGTTCGCTACTGGTGATCAAATGTCCTACAATGCTGAACGACACCAAGACAAACATTTGGATTCAGTTTTGGAGAAGATAGACAAAGTTATCGAAATGGATTTTTTGGATAGGATTCCTAGGTAAAAGCATTGAGGGTTTCAGGAATATATAGACTGGAAAAATAAGTATATATTTTTTATGCCTATCTTGAATATTTTTATATTAAGGCAATTGCTTAGAAAAACTCAATTTTTTTTTCTAATACTACCTACAGAATTAAAGTGTATTAAAAATTGTATTGTCAAATGATGTTACGAAAACGTTAGACACCTTATTAAATGTGGTTCACGCTTTGAAATATGTTCATTAACGCTTTCTAAATAAGTGTTCGTGTCGAAAAATTTAAATGAATGTTCCAATGAAAAAATCAATGTCCCCGAAACTTGCACAATCTGCCAAAAAAGGACATACGTTGAAAAAAGAATGAAACTCTAGAAACTTTAAAAATTGCCAGCACATTTGGGATTATGGATAACATTCATAGTCTTTTATATGTTTGGCTTCACTTTAAAAAACAATCACAATACTTAAACAATCACAGAATAAAACAAAAATTATTCATTGCAAACAATACCCTAGTATAAGGAAAATTATAAAATATTTTTTTTTAAGATATTTCAGATTCTTAAGTGATTTTAATTGAAGAAATAATAGGTTTTATATTTTTTATTAGGCTTCAAAATGATTTATAGACAATAATGTATCAAAACATTCCATCATATTGTCCGATTCCAAATCAATTTTTACAGTCTTAAACAATTAGTTTTTAAAATTTATGCTTGTTCATTTGAAGATAAACGTTATTTTTTTAATTGTGGAATGTTGGGGGCAATGAAACATTTGAAAGATTTTACGGCTATATAGATCCAAAATACTTCACCTCTGAAAGTCACTATTAGCGGACTGATACTTATCAATGGAAAATTCCCAGCAATCTTTAAAAAAGTTGATCTTTCTTTAAATACCTGTGATATTATAATCAATTTGTGATTTCAGTTACATATTATTTTTTTGTAATAACTATTCATTACAAATTCATCAACTGTACAATATATTAGCCTCAAAAATAATTAATTCCTTATAAATACCATTTCACTGCTTAGTACACAAAACAAGATCATCTTTGCGGCTTTGATTAGATTTCTGAATAATGTTTAGTGGACGTGTTTATTATATACAAATTTAACGAATCAGATGCTGCAAACATTTTATACACAAAAATTATTTCTATATTCATAAAGCAGTTTTAAATATTTACCTACTTGCAAAACTTTCCAATTTGATAGGAAGTTTCTAAAGTTAATTTTAAAAGGCAATTAGTAACTGAATGACAATTTAGTTGTATCTTCTTTTTTTTTTCTCGAAATCTACGCTAGCTGTTCAAATTCGATGAATCTGAAATTTATTCTTGTAACCATTTTCGTAGATGTCGTTTTCCCACTCTTAGTGGAATTTTCCGCCTTTCGTGAATCACACAGCTGCTAATTGCATGCAATGACTTGAATTTAACAGAAATCCAAGTTATTTACCTTATCCTGGCAATACTTAACTTTAATGGCTCTTTAATCGCATCCGTTGGTGGTACTTGCGCCTCAATAGTTTCACCAACCCTTTGGTGAAAAAAGGATACAATGAAATTATTATTCACTCTGTATTTTATTTCAAAAGATACATCATTAATTTAATGTTTATGATGATTGTCGATTATCTGGGACTTTAATATTGTTTTTTTTTTTACAAAAACGGCTGCAAGATAAAAATACATTGACTAGTAGATTAGATTAGATTTAATTAGGACTATGGGCTATGTGGCCTCCCCCACCTCGATCTTTTCAGATCTATTGTGGATATCCTTTAATCATTGTTTAGAGTACCTTGTCTAATGCGGTCTTTTGTAGTAAACTCCATAGACTGGAAAGTAGTTCTCCGGTATAGCTAGTTGCCCTTGGTTTTTCTTCTCCAAGTGTAAGGAATCTCATTCTTACTAGACCTTCGCAGTAGCACAATACGTGTTCTGCCGTTTCCTCTTCTTCTTGACAGAATCGGCACAAGGCCTCTTCTGTCAGACCGATATTGAACATATGTTTGTTAAGCCTACAATGCCCTGTTAATAGACCTACTAGTATTCTAGTATTTTTCCTATTAAGGCTTAGTAGATGCTCGGTGAGTTTAGACGATGGTCCTTTTAAGAACTTTTTGGCCTGTCTCTGTCCTGGTGAGTTTTCCCACCACTCCTGAGATTTTTTAAACATCCACTGCTTTGTGCATTGACTAGTATCTCTAGAAACATAAATTAGTAAATAATATTTTACACTTCTTTCTGACCAAAGTTAAAGATCATTTAGGCACGTGTTTCAAATTTGTTTGAATATTTTGAAATTCTAAAAAGATTTTGATTGAAAATAGCTCAGGAAGTTTAGTAGCGATGTTTTCTTCTTGAATTAAATCTTTTTTTTGTTTTTTCATTACTGGTTCTTTTCAAAAATTAAAATTATGTTTAATAGCCTGAAATTCATTGGATTCCATTTCCTCTACTTGCCCAACAAAATATTTAAGTTTTGTTTTCAAAGGATACTGACAAGAACAAAATCTCTTTCCTATATTTTAGGATCTGTACTTTCAGGAAATTCATCTGAAATTTCAGATTCGCCATCTCATAGTTCTTCCATTGATACATCGATGTCACCGGAATCTGCGAATAGATTCTTCGTAACATGGTCTTCACTTTTGCAGCTTTATGCGCTTTTTTGGCCTATTTCATTCGTTTTTCTTCCTCAAGTCGCTTCTTTTCTAGAATTACTGGCGATTCTGTTAATATCGTAGACCCAACCTTTTTCCTTTTCAAAATATTTTTTCTAGTGAATCTTTTAAATGTGGCCTTATAGAGTCTGGATTCATAGATTTTGGAGGTTAGTTGATAAGGCACTGAATCATTTTTTTTGTGGCATCTGCATCTCCTGATTTGTTATAATTCCAGAGCAACCTGGCTGAGTAATGTCTACTGGTTGGGTATTGTCTAAAGCCCCTCACAAATCAATTGATTTAGACTGATTCTCGTCATGTTCTCCATTAGGATGTTCACGATCTGTTACATATGCATAAATAAAATCAGTTTCGTTAAATATTTCTGAGTTTGAAAGGAATATTCCTGTACATCCGAATCTTTTTGCTATATTTGCTGTATATCAATTGGATTACAGCGATACTATTTTTTTTTAAATATATATTTTCTTTAAATGAGTTTGGTATCACGGTGCAGACAAAAGTACTTTACACACTATTTTGTAGGGACTAATCCATTGCTATATTGTGACTGTCAGGTAATTCGGGTGTTTGAAGATTGACATATATATCAACATTACCCTGGTGGACACAAGATTTCATGACAATATGTTGAAGTTAAATTTTTTTCTCGTTGATTTTATGAATAAAAAAATTTGATTAAATGTATTTTAAATAGTTAAAGAATTAATAAAATATCTGTTTGTAATGTTTACTTGCTTTGCTCAACTTGAGTATCCTAGTTTCAGTCATGTTCTGAATATATGTAAGATCAAAACCCAAGAAAATTGTTAAAGCTTTATTATTCTCCCTTAGCCATAATATGAATACAAATAATATAGGTATATTCTGAATTTTTCCATTGATAAGCTATTTTTTTATTGTTTAATACATTATTCACAAACAATTTAAAAAGTGAGTGATTGTATTACATTGGGCACACACTGTTACATTCTAATTATTTTAATCTTGGTAAATTGGCATTCTTTATATGTTTTTATATCGACTTTATAAATTTTTTCCAGTCAAATATTAACCAATATTTAATTTTTTAATAATTTAAGGAAATATAACCTCATTTATTTGAATTTTACTAATCAAAGCGTGATTGAAGAATCACGTCATAATCTAACTCTACTTTTTCTTTGAATAGACGTTGACATTTTTACATTTAAACTTTTAGCTGCGGCTAACTTTTTAAAAGTGGTTTGTGAATACGGATGTAAAACTTGTATATATGTAAAATAATATCGGAACTATATATGAATGTAATATTTTTCTTGATAAAAATCAGTATTAAATGCAGTGCATTTGTAGTTTTTGTAGGTTGTGCAAATATGTTATTTTGTTTTAGAAATGGATGACAGTTTTCTTCATGTTTGTTCAGAAAAATATCTCTAACAAAATCATTAATGATTTCTTTAATTCATATTGTATTTTTTTTTTTTTTTTTTTTTTTAGTTGATTCGTTTTATACTGATCCAAAAGAAGACAAAATACTACACAATATCTTTTACCTGTTAATCTATGAAATTATGAATTTATCAAGCATGTATTACAAGTAATTGTTTTCTGAAAAACCTACACAGAACACGAAGTAAACTGTCACACATAATTTTTTATATTCATATATAATATATATTTTATTGAATTCGATTTTGTTAAAATATTATTTTAGATTTTATTATTATTAACTTTAAGAATTAATTTATTTACCCATGCTGGTGCAGTTTTTTTGTAAATATAATGTTATAAGATTGTGATTTTACATTGTGATTTAACAGAATAATGGCAGTATTTTGCCTTATTGTTGTATTATTTGTATTAACATCTTTAATAATAATAATAATGTGTACAGTATGTTTCATGGTTAATTTAATCTGTATATTGGCCATTTATTAATGGATGTGTGATGCCTTTTTATACTTGTTGAAAACATAATTTTTATACTTTTTAAGTTTGCCCACTTGTTTGTTTTAGACATTGGTAGATAATAATCAACATATTATTATAACAAATCTGAAGAGTAAAAAATTTTTTCAAGCATTACAAATCCACTTTAAAGTCCTAATATTTTAAAAATAATTTTATTACATTTTTTTTTCTTGAAATTTCCACATTTCTATTGTAAATATGCCCAATAAATAGGCTAAACTCCTGAAATATCCAGTATCTATTCATTTTGCTACAATAAAATATGTTGAAATCTAAATGTTTTTTAATCAAGTAAAAAAATAAATTTGGATATATTTTTTATCTAAATAAATACCATAAAAATCGATATACATTGTGTAATTGA